CAGTACTGAGCAAAGCTCCAGATGAGCCTGCACCAACGCTGAACATACTGGGACAATGCCCTCTCTTGACCCACTGGCCACACTATGTTTGATATGCCCAGGATGCAGTTTGCCCTCTCAGCTGCCTGGGAACACCACTGACTCTTCTTGAGCCTGCTGCTGACCAGCATACCCATGTTGCTTTCTGCAGGGCTGCTCTGCAGCCGCTCCTCTTCCAGTTGAGACCTGTGCCAGGAGTTATTCCCTTCTAGCTGCACTAGTTCAATTTCACGCACTGATGTGGGCCCAGTGCTCTAATCTATCCAGATCTCTCTGCAAAGCCTCTTGTCCTTCAAGAGAGTCAACAACACCTTCCACTTTAGTATCATCAGAAAATTTGCTAATGTGGCATTCAACTCCTGAATCCAGATCATGGATCAAAATATTGAAGAGCACAGGGGTGAGGATGGAGCCCTGAGGGCACTGCTGGTGATGGCTCACCGGCCAGACGTGGCCATTCACTGGAACCCTCTGAGTCCTGCCATCCAGCTGGCTCTTCACCCAGCACACTATGAACCCACCCAGCCACAGCTGGACAACTCGTAAAGCCTCTTCTCCCAGGCAACTAGTGATTGGACAAGGGGAAACAGCCTCAAGTTGCATCAAGGGACATTCAGGCTAGATATTAGGAAAAATTTATTCACTGAAAGAATGGGGAAGGTGGTGGGGTCATCATCCCTGGAAGCGTCCAAAAAACAGGGAGATTATGGCACTTCATGATACGTTTTAGTGGGCACAGTGGTATTCAGTTGAAGACTGGACTTGATGATCTTGGAGTTCATTTGCAACTTTAATGATTTCATGGTTCTATGATGTCCCAGCAATCCTTTTCCACTCCAGACTAGCAAGTCTAGTGTGGCTGTCAGTCAATTTTTTCAATCTTTTTTTTGGTGCTGAAGGAGTAAAAGGACAAACTGAGTTTTTTAACCATCTGTTCCATCTGTTCCCACAATGCTCTGCTTATCTCCTCATAACCAGAAGCAGCTTCACCCACAGCAGTCTGTGATTGCTTCATACAATACACCACCACACCAATAGTGCCTACAATGCCTGCTGTGCAAACCAGGCACTCATTCCCTCAAACTAATTGTGTCAACTCCTCCTAGTTAACTGAATACTTTCTCTGTATCACCTCTGTTAAATATTTTAGGATCATAAATATATTTCCTCTGGGGCTTTCTGGAAGAGCTCAATTGAAATATCTTCAAATATTTTTTTCAAAGGAGAATGCTCTGCTCTAGCTATTAATTAAAAGAGTTTTTATTGAAGATCTAGAGATTTTAATACTAATTTGAAACAAAGTTTATTAAAATATCCTACAGTATCTTTAAAATCATTCAACACAGCAATTTTTATTACCCAAAATCAGCAAAGCTGTGAAGGAACAAAATTAAATGTTTCTTTCAGTGCTTCCAATCTATTGTGTCTTTGTAGTATATCTTGCAACTAAGAATTGCTAATCTCTTCATTACTAAAATAGCTCTTTCCTACCTCCAGAATATTGATTAAACACTCCAATCACTATTTATTGAATAATTTTAGTTTCTTTTTAAATCACAGATAATGTCTGCAGGAATCAATCCTCTTCTCCTTGAATATCCCCTTCATTTAGCTATTGTCATGTCCATCTTATCTTCTTTCCGGGACCAAAGCTTGCCTTCTTATATTTCAAATATAATGATACTCCACTCATTTTCATCTCACAAAACTGCATTATCAAATCCAAGGTTTCAAGATATGATCAACAAAAACTCTATTGAAACAGAGAACCATTTACAAAATATTTAAATATGAACTATAACGTAGAAAACAATAAATAATAAAAAGCCAGTAAAACCCTACAGTGTTGGCCATGGTGTTTAGCTCAATCAGAAAGGTAAAACTCTATCACAGGGTGAACAAAATTCAGTCTGTAAGTGTGCTGGTGTTTGCTTGAAGGCAGTTTTATTATAACCTTTTAACACCCGACTGCTAATTTTAACTACTTAGAAGTCATAGTGGATTGCACAAGTACCTCTAGTTCATTTCAGCACAAAATAACCAAACTTAGTGTAATACACAGTTGTGTACACAGTGCATAAATGTAGTCTTTGCACTGCTCCACGCTCAGCTGGTGCCTCTGCTGAGCACCACCTGTCTCACAGGTGCCTGCAGCACAAGTTCTGACTTAGCACAGGACAGCAGAAATAAAGCTGAAATAACAGTCAAACCACTAAGTATAATTTTTAAACTTGATCTAAGAGACTAAAGCAGTCAGGTCACACTTCATCATAGGAAAATATTTTTTTTCCTGCAGGAAGCTATTTCTGCGTATGGGAATAATGTCATTGAAACAGCTCCATGTGATTTGAATCATAGCAAGTATCAACTAGCATATAAAAATAAAAATCAAACCAAATATTGATTTTAGCTGTTGTAGATTTAGTAATAAGCCATCCATCATATTTTTAAAAAATTAATACTTGTGTTAACCTAATACTTCAAGAGTTACTGTATTTTTCATTTTAACTAAGACTTTAAACCCTTTAAAACAAGAGTTGCAATGCAATTCCAATAAAAAAGAAGGGTAAGGAGAGTCAAATACTTTTTTCCTTAAAAAAAAAAAAAGGGACCAGATAAAAAGTACCGTGTTAATTAATAACTGCAACTGAAATAGAGAATTCAAGTACGCACAAAGAAGCAAATCTCCTAACAATGTTTCTGATATTCCTGCTCTCTGCTCATGTTTTCTTCAAGAGTTTTAAGTATGACCCTTCGCATCACTGTTTCATAAACCAATGCCTCTGAACTTTTTCAGAAAGCAAGTCTGTGACTCACCCAGTGCCAAACTATATCTGATATTTCACTTTTGCAAAGTCTTAAACCCTGTACAGAGGTTTACACTGCAGGGAGGGAAGGCACATGGTACTCTGTTAACAATTTCCATCTGCAAGACAGATTCTCAGGGCTGTCCGGTAGTTACATGGTTTTATCCATGTTCATGTACAGAGATTTATAGCTTAACATTGCTACACCTCGTTTGCTCCTATAGCCATGAAATTTTGTACAAAACAGGATACAAAAAACAGTTATGGGCAAATTAAGTGTCTATAAAATCCTATGTAGATGTGATTCCTACCTAATCTTTCTGGTGTAATAAACTCCCATGGTAGGAATACATTTGTTTGTAAACAGGAAATGCTTTTTCATTTGCCGTAGTAGACAAATACATTTGAATATCTTGATGAAATCTCCTGTAAATAGTAAAGGAAATCTAAAGTAAAGTAATAAACTGGGGTTTATGAGTTTTTTAAAGTATTTATTATTTATATATTTAATAGCTGTATTAAACAAGGTTTCATGCACCATAGTTAATACTACTGCTCACTTTCCCAAGAGTTTTTGGAGTAGCGTCTTACTTTACTTCCATTACATTATTTTTACTTGTTCTATCACTTCAAAGTCTTTTTCAGTTTCATTTTGCATTAGGCAGGATTTCATAATTTTAAAAGCATCATTTGTATGTAAAATGATACATAATTTTGCTGTCCATTATTTTAATAAAATAAACATTTTAACAGCCTCAGAGATACTAATTACATTTTATACTCCACTACAAGGCCTAAAAATATTTTAGGTAGGTAAAATGCCAAAATACTAATGGTTTTAGACCACACCCCTTTGACTTTCAGCAAATGCTCAGACCACATGAGCATTTATGTAGCTAGGTTCATTCAGACAGTACTTAACAGCACCGGTTTAAGTAACCTTTTTACCAGGATCATAACAACACATTGATACTGAGATTTAAGTAAGAGACTAGTTTAAACCAATTGCTTCAAAACTGTCTCGAAGACATATCCATAATCAGGAAAACAGCCCTCTCAAGTGCAACACAGCTATAATTTTAGGACTCCAAGTGTCAACACTTGAAAATGGAATTAAACACTGGAGTCTCTTCAAACTTGACAGTTATCACCTTCAATATTTGACTACTATCTCATCTAGCTCTGCAATACTTCTTGTCTTTTCTCCATGGTGAAGAGAAGGCTCAGGGGGATTTCATCACAGTATTACAGTACTTTAAGGGTATCTACAAAGAGTAGAGAGATTCTCACTTCACAAGGAGCCTCAAGGAAAGGACAAGTGGCAGCTGGCACAAGTTGCACTGGTAGGAGTTTCATCTAAATATAAATTATTTTTTTACAGTGAGAACAATCAAATGCTGGAACAACCTCCTCAGAGCGGTGATGGAGTACCCATCGTTGGACAAAGTGGTGCACAATCTCATTCAGGCTTCCCTTCCCACAAAAGGGTGGAGCAGATGATCCTCTGAGATTGCTTCCAACCTAGGCCATTCTATGGTTCTGCAGTTATGGTCCAGGAGTTCCCATGTCAAAGAAAATACCATAGCATAAAGACAAGCAATCCTAGTCTTATGGAAATACTTAAGAAATAGACACAAAATTATTGTTCATACAACCCAGAGGGCAGTATTTGCCAACCATTTGCCAAGAGAGAAAGTTTTTAGTATGGTGGAGACCACACATTGGGGAAGAGTGTGACATTTTTGTAAGAAGCTACAAAATTCTACTTTCAGTTTTCCTATTACTGCAATGCAAAATACTTATGCAGGGGAAAAGAAATGCTTATTTCAATCAAGAAATGTTATTTCAATCTGTACGTTCTAACATCTTAAACAACATGCTACAATTTTCTACACAAATCAGTTTTCAATTTGCAAAACAATGATTCCCTATGAAGTAAGATACACTGACTCAGAACAAATTTCAAGTGGGGAAGTGAAAACCCTCAATATTTACAATCATCTTTCTTACAGTCTTACAGATTGCTTTATATAATTGTTGAAGCTGTCATTCTATTGTCAGCTGGCTACAGCCTCAAAAAACCACTCCCTTCGGGCTGATCAAAGCAAGCATCTATCAGACAAAATTAATTTTATTTTACATTTTTTAACTCACCTGCTTGGGAAGACGGAAGAGAGAATTTTTGTAAAATATATCTTTAGCCTGGCTCCATGTTCCATCAATGATGATCATAACAGATGAACTAGGAGACATCACTGCAACTTCTTCCAAATTGGTTGCTTCAGCTCCAGGATATAAAATTAGAGTATTGGGATTCCTGCACACAGTTGCTAATTCAGGATACCTTCCATGCACAGAAACAAAAAATTAAAATAATTATTGAAAGTTTTCATGACAGACACATACTTGCAGATACTCTAAGTTACTAGCTCCCACTCATTTTCCCCAAATTTTACTTAAAATGTTCCTTTCTCAGCTACCACTTTCTTTTTCCAACAACTCAGAAGTTGCTGGTTCTCTCTCCTGTGAAGAGGGAAAAAACACACAAAAGTAATCAATGAAACCTTGAAAAAGCAATATATCAGGAATATTTTCCAGCACTTTAATCACTAAGTCTAACGCCTATTACAACCAAAGATGTTTTGAATTGTTTACAAAAATTTAACATGTATCTAGCAAAATTTGTTCAAGCACTTGCCATGCTGATGGCAAACTCATTGAAGCCACCAAATTTCAAGTGGAGATTGAGAAGTTGAATTTCTAAAAAAGTACTTTTCTTCCTACAGATCAGAGGTTGACTTTTAAAGAATTTAAAATTCCGTATCAGCCAGGGCAAAAAAGAGAGAGAACATTGCCACATGAGAAATAAAACAGTCTTAAACAGTCTGTTTCCCCTGAGGGACAATGTGAACTTACTTCTTAATTTAGGTACTGTACTTCAGTGTATTTCCAGACTGTAGGCTTTAGAATTACTTTGTTTTCAAGCTACTTCACAAACAACTTTTTTCATTCAAAGAGTGGATCACAAAGAATTTCAAATACAAAAATTGTCCTATGTTAACTTAAAAGGCATGAAGACAATCAACTAAGCACAGTCTTCATTTACTTTGTTACACGTATTCATGCACTATTAAAAACACTTATCCAAACCTTCATGTAGATTTGTTATGATTAAGACTCGGAAGCCATGAACTCCATCCTTAAGTAACAATCTCAAAAGAATATAGCAAATCTCTGATGAAATTAGGAATATACACAATTCACTCATACATATGTAACAAGAAAAAAGATATGTAACATTCCACCCTTAGCCAAAGCGATCATTTGACTGAGCTCTTAATTGTGAGTGGGAGGGGGAAGAAGAATACAGCATGAGTTTTTCTTTCAGAAATATTATTCTCTATATAAATATATATAGGTATGTATATATATGCCATATACATAAACTGAGGACCCCTGGTGGTCTAGTGGTTAGGATGCTCTCACTGCCGTGACCCAGGTTCAATTCCTGGTCAGGGAACTCCCCCGGGCAGATGGAGCTCGTCAGCCCTGTAAGGCCATCCATCTAAGAGAAGGTCACTCTAAACAAACCTACGTCCTGAGGACCTCGCTGCCACCGTCCAAGCTCGCTCGGCCCCGGCAGATGAACCTCAGGATTAAAGGGTGGGCTCAGTTCAGCACACACTGTGTCTCACCTAAAAAATCCACTGCACAGGCTCGAAGGGTAATGACCTTTCCCAAATCTTCGTTCGCAAAGACTGGCCATGATACATAAACTATATAAACTACAAGAGTTTATAATAGTTTTTAGTTGATGTCATCTGAAAGGACCTGATAATGAACGTGACTTAGTTGCCTGTAAAGGCATGATTTAGATTTCTTAATTAGTGTTAAGTGAGTACTAAGCAATACAAACCCTGAGATTAGCTCAGTTGGTTAGAGCACAGTGCTAATAACGCCAAGGTTGTGGGTTTGATTCCCACAGGGGCCATTCACTTACAAGTTGGATTCAATGGTCCTTGAGGGTCCCTTCCAACTTGGAATATTCTGTGATTATGTGAAAAATAATTACTAAAATGTGATTTAAGTGATGGAAGTGACACTTGGTAGGAATTAAAAGGACTTTAAATTATATGTGCTAGATGTTAAAGAAAAAGAGCTTACTTGAAAAATACACTCAGTTAAAAGGAAGTTTTATTTTCTCTGAAGCCTGCAAGGCAGAGCAAGATTTGTTCTTTTCTCTGTGTGTCTCCAAGTAAAAACTAAGGAACAAAAGATTAAAGTGGGGCCATATGAAGAATCAGATGGCTTGGATTTTTCTTTTCTAACCAAGACAACAGAATTTTAGAAACAAAAGCTATTCACAGAATTGATGGGCAATACTACAAATAAGTATGAAAGGAAAAAACAAATCAGAAAACAAAATACAGCAAAGCAATGAGAACTTTTTCCATATCCTGAACACTTCACTGATGGCATAAACTGTATGAAATAGAAAAAGTATAAGCAAACATGAACACAGATCCAACAGGGACTCTCTAAGACACTAAAGATGGCTATGAAAGTATAGCACAAGACTAAATGAGTACTACGAGAACCACCACACTGGTCTGCAATCCAGAGAAAGAATTAGTAATAAATAAAATTAGCAATAAGTAGAATCTCAAAAATCATATTTCACAGTCGACTTTTTCAATGGAATAATGTGGGCAACACCAGCAGCATCAACCCACAAGTCAGCTCATACATTAGAATACAGACCACCTCAAAAAGTCCTCTGCTGCAATTAAAATGCAATGTTCTTTCCTATACACACAAAAAAACCCCCCCACAAAATTCTGCAGAAAGTCCACTAGCAAAAACAAGAGAGATGAAACTTATTCCGCACATCCATAGAGGACAAGAAAAGAAATAATAACTGCAGCAATAAAGATGCAAACTAAACAGGAACAAAACCTCTCAGGCTTTCTAATGGTAATAAGTTAAGTTCATATGTTCAAACAGATCTACAGAGAATTCTGCAGACTCTTCTGTAAGTGCTATTAATACCAGGCCTACTTGCAGCTGATCTCACTTTCGCAGGAGAGTAACTATTGGCATCTTGATTATCTTTTTATCCCTACTTCTCCAACTATGCTGCTACATATAGCAGCATTTGATGTATATATACATCAAATATACATAGCATCAGTTTGATGATACCAAACTGAGTGGGCAAGTGGACACCTTGGAAGAGAGCGTCATCTTGCAGAAAGACGTGGACAGGTTGAAAGAGTGGGCTAACAAGAACCACATGAAGTTCAACAGAGACAACTATAAGGTCTTGGACTTAGGAAAACATAATCCATGAGTGCAGCATGGGCTGGGATCTAGCTGGTTGGGGAGAAGCTCTGTGGAATGCAACCTGGAGGTCCTGGTGGACAACAAGTTTAGTCTGAGTGAACTGTCCTGCTGTGGCAGAGAAAGCCAACAGGATGTTGGCTGCATGAACACTAGCATAGATAGAGAAGTAATTATCTCACTCTACTCAGCACTTGTCAGGCTACACCTGGAATACTGTGTTCAGTTTTGGTTCTCACAATATAAAAAAGATGTGGACAGCCTGGAGAGGGTCTGGAGAAGGGACACAAAGAACCAGGAGACATGCCAGATGGGAAAAGGGCGATAGAACTGGGTTTTTTCTGCCTTGAGAAAGAAGGCCTAGGGGAGACCCAATCACTGTGTTTCAGTATTTAAATTGTGCCTACAAAAAAGATGAACACTCTCTTCTTACAAGGAGTCACATGGAAAAGATGAGGGGTACTACATACAAGTTACATGAGGAGAGATTCCAATTGGACAAAAGAGAAAAAAAAAATTGCAATAATCTCCCCAAGGAGTGGTGGATTCCCCGAAGTTGGATACTTTTAAGACTTGGCTGGGCCAAGGTGCTGGGCCATCTTGTCTAGACTGCTTTTGCCAGGAAAGTCTGGACCAGATGATCCTTGAGATCCCCTTCTACCTTGGTATTCTATAATTCTATGGTACATATATAATGAATATCAATGGCCAATGTTGCTCTTTAGCTGATCTTATTCTTAAAACACAATGATTTCAAGCAATTGAAGGAATATCCTCTATACTGACTATGCTTAAGAAATATCATCTGTTCATTTATCATAACATTTCCAGTACTTTCATTAGCAGTTTGCAGACTTTAGAAAATGCTGGAATTCCCAAGAGAAATCAATTTTTATCATTTACAGTTGAAGTAATCCAGTCTGAAGATAACTACTTTCTTTCTATAAATACAGCAACACAGAATTTCTCATCTGTTAGCCATCTTTCCATGACCAACAGTTAATGTAAAGTTCAAGAAGATGATATAATTTAAAAGACACGCCGTAATGTGCAACTATGGACTTGAACTCTTAAAAGAAATACTTGCAATATTTGCTTCTCATACAAAGCACTGTTCAGCTTTGGGTTTGGTATGCAGCAGGCATTGAAGGCCTTTATAATCCATTTAGTCTGATAACAATCTCTGCTAGAGTAGAACTATTCAGATGTTTCATTCATGCCTCAATTATATCCAACTGCTTTGTCATAGCAGATTTATACATTCTCATGATTGTACTTAAGACAAGTAGCATTTCATTATTTCTGGGATCCATGCTCTTGAGATCCGTAATTTAGACACTATCTTATCTCATAATCCCGTTTTTGTATCATAAACATTTTTATTACACATGCACAGTCAGTTGCTCTCAAACTCTCTAAGTGGTTTTAGTTCCACAGAGATGTATTAAACTTTGCCAAGGTGAAAGGCAAGCATTCAAATTTTAAAAATCCAACATTGCCATTTGGTAGCAAACAATACTAATATTAAAGAACAGATGCTAATTTATTATCTGTAGAAAACCATCACGTTAATGGGAACTTCTCAGTTTTTGTTGTCAGTTTTCCTATTTCACCTTAGTCATAAGAAGGTACCTTGGCCTTTCTCAATACTCCCATGCTTGGGAGAATGTAGGAATGCTGATTGCCATAATTCCCATAAGGTAGTAATTCCCATCAAGTAATAAAATGAATAAAAATAAAGGCAACTATCCTCTGTCATTTCCCCATTCAGAAAGATGCCCTTAGGATCAGGACTGAAGCATGAGAGATACCCAGCAAGAGATATCAACTGCTTTTTTATCTGCTTTTTTATCATTTATCTACTTTTTTGTAGATAAATGACATTTACTCTCTAATACACTCTGTATTTTTGTTCTTCACTTTTAAATATGTTAATTGTATACACAAATTATCTTTGGTCAAAAGATCAAACAATGACAGATATTTTTAAGGTTTTGAAACCTG